GGTAAAGTCATTCCCTTACTTTGCATGAGGGTACATATTTATAGATGCGTGCGATTGATTGCTTCCATTAGAACTAATAATAAGAAGTTCTTGGTCAGGATTGTTGCGGTTTCCGATTCTTAGTTAGACCACAAGTCCCAAAATAAGAGAGAGAAAAACTTTGCTATTCTTAGCAAATAGTGCAGAGATAGTTAATCTGATTAGTATTCTTCTCACTTTCTTGAAATCTTTTATTCTTTGTGTTATGGTTCCTTGTGCTAATAAAGTTATTAATTTATAAGTAAATGACGTTTTAATAGTTTTTAACCATCTTGCAGGTAAATACAACATAAAGAATCAAAACGTCAAAAGGTCAAGGAAAACCCTATCAATGCTACACATTCTTTCAAACATCAAATTGCGTGAGTAAACGTAAGCTGGATATGTCAGTCCTTCAAGCAGAGCTTCGCACGTAGATATATTATCGAAAGCTTTAAAAGCCGCCCGAGATGCTAACATGTACTCCTCAGAACTCGCAAGTCCTTTAGCTCCCTCCATCGCTTTAATGGATGATCCATAACGTGTCAGGCAAGACCCATACGGGGTCTTGAGGTTCGGATCACTTGCGGTTCTCGCTAAGCCTTTTGTCATCTCTAGGTTTTTAATGCCCAACAATTCCGTCTTTTGGATGAGCATAACGACAAGACCGTGTAGGTCGAGAGTGAACGTTTTCGGGTCAGAGCTTAGCCAAGCGACGCAGAAGTGCTTGTAAATCGTCGGTTGTGAGCAGAGTTGGTTAACTAATGCCTGTGTGACTTTGTCAGTCGGAGAAAAAGATGAAACAGAAGAAAATAAAGGCGTGACTGATAGAAGAACTAGAAGAGGCAGAATCTGAAATACGTTTTTTGTGACGCAAGGAAATGTCATTGTCTTGTTTGTAATTGGAAGAATGATTTTGGGCATTGCTTATTGCTTTAGTAATATATTCATAAGTTTTTGGGTGTGGTTTAATGAAATGTTGACTCGATTTTGTTTCTCTTAGTGAATATGTTGAATCAATTTTAAAACAGTCAAAGAAACAAACGTTTTTATTTTATCCTCATTTTTAGCGCAACAATTGAATTGACCGGTATCGTTGTTATAGATTCCTAAGTTTATTACTTGATGCCAAATTGTATGTTCATGAATGAGATTTTGTTTTCCATTCTCATTTCTTAGCGAAATTGGAAGACACATTAATTTGACTATGAATTTATTGGTTTATAAGTTACAAACGCGAGAGTTAATGTCATC